CTTTGCATCAGCATTGCAAAAGCTAAAGTGAGAGGGTTGTTGTGGCGATGTCGGTCCGAGTTGCAAGGCATCCGTGCTTCATCGACTTGTACCATTCTTGGAGAAAGTGAGAGGCGAAAGAGGAGGAGGGGGGAAGAAGAGGAAAGCGCATACAACGTCATGGATTGGAATAAAGTACGAGGTGTCCAACCACAAGTGGGACAGTCTGGAGGCAGTACAGGGCGTCCTCAGTGAAGGACAACATTCGTCCCTCCTCATCCCACTGTGACCCACCAACATTTTACCACCTCATGCCTACAATAGTGGACATTTGGTTTGTCAATGTCTGTGGCACAGCAGAACTCCGCTTGGACTTCTGTTGGAAGGCAAAGGGGCTGCCCTCCTCTTGCTACACCACGACCATCACTATGGCCTTTGGTAGCCACTGTTTCCACAGGATAGCGCCACTGCACACTGCAACGAGGTGAATGCCATGCAAGCAGGAGTGAACCCACCTCCATCCTCCCTCATAATTGCATCCAAATTGGCTGGCTTTGTGTGGTCGCAGTGAACACCATCCAATTCGCTAATAGTGTCTCCCCTCCCACATCTTCTACCCTCCAACCACCTACCAATTCGACCATGGTCTCCTCTGTCCACCACCGGTGGATAAGGGAACGCCAACATGTCATCCCAACAGTAGGTTAACTTAACGACTTAAATCGCAATCTGCTTTCCACCAAATGCCTGCACAAACACCTTTGCGCACAGGCGGCGGTGGTGGACTGCATCGGAATGGAGTGCAAACACGCGATAAACAAGGCGCCACTAATTGTCAGTGTGCTTGTAACCATCACCTCCTCAGCCATGTCTTGCCATCTTCTGTAGCAATGCGACCTGCCATCAAGATCCGCCTTCGTCTTGCATCACTTGTCGTCATGAGGGAAAGGAAATAGCAGCTGCTCCGCTTTTGTTGGCAATGTGACAAGTGGAGATGTGTGTCAAGTCATTGACCGCCAGTCGTGTCTGCCTTGCAGTTTGACGTAGAGGCGAGGAACAGTGTGCAGGTTCGGCTACCTCCAAGTGCTCACGAAGGCAACTAAGGACTGATGCAATCGCCTCGGCTCGACTGCACAGCATTCGAATCACGAGATGAGGAATGCGCGACTCTTTTCTGCACACACACACACACACCTCTACATGCCCATGTGAGAGTGTCCTGTGGAGGCGAGTGGATGTGCACCAAACACTTTCGTTGATAACGCCAACGCACTGCATGACGGCGCACACCACTTCTCCCACATTTATAACTCCCTCACCACGGTATTCAGTTGTTGCTGCAGTGCAAGTGTGGTTGCGAGTTGATCGGTCAGAAGAGCCTCGCACCACAGTGCCGTGCTGAAGGGTGGGAGGTGCTTAAGTGGCCAGTGCGCAGCAATAACAACTTGCAAACATTGGCAGCTGACATGCTCTCCACGAGGGTGGAAAGACTCACCTCCTTTACACCTTCACGCATTACCGTTCGCAAAGCGATCAGACGAGTGGTGGAAGGAGGCGGGTGTTGCACACAGTGCCTGGTTGGACAGTGATAGGGCACGACGAATACTCGCCATTGCATAAGGAATCGACATTCGAGTTCGACTTGTCCACTTCAGTAGCTCATCACATCAGTGGAGCCTCCCTCTCGCTCCTCACCCACCTCCACCACCGTAGGTCTCTTCCCCACCCAACCCACTTCGTCTTCCTCCATCTCAAATCGAAATGGTGGTTTTTGCGGGGAGGGTTAGATTTACAGATGGGGTTGCATTCCCATTCACTGGTCGTCAGAGGCAGGCATTCCCCTAGTCCACATCGCGTCTCCACATGATGCATTGTCATGCAGACAAGGGCAAGCAGCACCGCAACTGCACCCACTGTAGCAGGGATGAGTGAGCTGACACCTCGTTCCACTATTCGCTCCACTGTCCACTCGCACTACCACCGCCATATTACCTGTCACACCAGATCACGCTCACACCTCCCACATCCACCGTGACCTCCTCCATGTCACGGCGTCATCATCTGCATCACCAACCACCCATTCGGTGCAAACACAAACCGCACTCATGGCTTGCCCCACCTCCTTCACCACTTGTCGTTGCCCACCTCAGTCGACACAGTCAGCCGATTCAAGACTCATGTCCTCCCACATTACGCTCTCACATTGCGTTAAACATGTGCATTCACAATACTATTTCTTCCTCCTCTTGTTCCTCTT